TCAGATACAGGGCAGAGGTCAGTACAGTAGATACAGGGCAGAGGTCAGTACAGTACAGGTGTGTGTGTGTGTTGAGCCTCACCGTCCTGCAGGTATCCTCTCTCTCCCGCCGCAGTCCTCTCTTCAGATTGGTCACCTCCAACCTCAGGCTCCGCCTCTCCACCTCGGCCGAGTGCAGCCGTTGGCTGAAGAGCAGGAAGTGCTGCTGGAGGGTGGAAACCAGGGTCTGCTGGGAGGACACACACAGAGGTCAAAGGTCAGCAGAAGATAAATCTAAAACTACCACTGTGTGTGTGTCTGTCGTTGAGCGACCTTCATGTTGGGTCGTGGAGGCGTCACTTTGTTCAGACCGAGTCTCAGCCGGCCGCTCAGCGTTTCCTCGTCCGACCCACAGCAAGACGTAGCGTCCGATTGGTCGAGAAGGTGATCCAGGAGGCGGGACAAAGCGGAACGAGAGGCTGACATCACATCCGCAGGGGAGGAGCCTAGAAAGTCAAAGAGAGATGATGAGCTAATCTACATCAATCTTTAGCTGGCGAGTTACATCTGATAGCTATTGTTATAAAGCAGAAGCTAATTACCTAGCTAATACCTGATGTACGTTATCTCGTTACCTTTTGCTTTGTAACAAAACATCCGATAACTAAATAACTAGCTTCCGATGGATGGCGATTAACTAGCTAGTTAGCTTGTGTGTTACTAACATTAGCTAACTTGTGACTATATACACACACACACACACATCTCTTTTATCTTTTAACCATCTTCTAAACGTGGTTGTCTTTCCAACACAGACTCACTAACAGGGTAAGTCTCTGTAATGTCAGTAAACGTGAGTGGTTACCAGTGTGCGTTAGCGCCCCCTGCAGGTCGGCCACGGAGGACAGAATGGTGGAAGAGAGACATTTAGAGCGAAGCCAGCGAGCACAGACACCTTCACGACCTCCACCATCGCCGTCTTTATCTGAAACACAAATATCCGACTGTAGGAACAAGAAGAAAACTGACGTTTGACTGTAGGGAGGAGACTCGACCACCGACCTGTGCTCAGGACATCGCGACCCTTCTGTGTTGCCGTAGGCGACCCTCCACAAACGCCAACAGCCGGCTCGCCGCCTCCTCTCTCCACCCGGAACAACACTGTCGTCTGTTTGGTCAGTGCACGCCACCTCCTCACCGCCAACACCACGCACACGCACCTCCTCCACCTTCTCACTGCCTCCCTTCCACTTCCCTCCTCTTCCTTATCTTCCTCACCTCCCAGAGCAGCAGCCAGCCTCCTCACCTCCTCCTCCAGCATCTCCCTCTCTGCCAGCCGCCTGGACAGGAGTCTTTTCTGTTTGGAGAGCGCCTGCAAGCGGCGGTGAGCATGCTTCAAGGCCCCGGCCAGCAGGGCACACGCCGACAGGAAGGAGGCCGACTCCTTGCGGCTTCGAGAGAGGAGGCCCTGGACCCGGGAGAGGTCGGTGGTCAGCGAGGAGCCTTGGAGCTCCAGAGAGGAGGCGCGATCGCGGAGGGAGTCGCACTGAGAGCGACACACCTGAGAGAGAGAGAGTCACTAACTGGACTGAATTAAGTTTATTTAACTGATAAAGAATCAATTTTTCATGAGAATATAAAAAAAACATTGTTAGCAGTGACACCAGTGGCCATTAAGTGAACTGCAGTCAGTTTCCTTAGATACAGGGCAGAGATCAGTGCTGTAGATACAGGGCATAGGTCAGCTTAGCTTAAGATCCAGATGTCCCATGACTGAAATCCTTTAAATATAGAGTTAAAAACTACCAAGATGTTAAAAATGTGGCTTCTAACTGGATAGCTTAGCTTGCTTAGCTTAGCAGTAAGACTGGAAGTAAAGGGAAACTGCTAGCAGCTGTAAATTTAAAAACCTGGCTTGGAAAACACTTGCATGAAACACACATAAACAAATACTTTGGTAAGTCACCGTGATAAAAGCGGGATAACGCCCTTCGAGGTGTCCATGATTCAGGAATTAATAGATGACGTGGAGGCCAGAACCGCCCAACACATCCCATCCCAACTCTCATTATCTGATTCCTAAACCAGTAGCTGTATCATCACTTCATGTGATGTTTTACAGACTGTGGATCCGCTGCAGCTCTGCAGGTTCTGACTGAGAGCAGGTTTGAAGTTATTTTCTGTATTTTGTGCTGACAGCTACTGGACAAATTAACCTTTCGTCAAAGTTACATCGGGGATCTGACGATGCTGACGGTGTTCACAACTTCTCTCACAGAGTTTGTGTCGAAGCTTCACAGGCAGTATTTTTAGTTCAGTCAGACTTCAGAGCATCTCTTCATACAGTAAATACAGACAGAGAGCATGCTGGGAGTCAGTGCAGCCTCGAAGAAGTCAGAAGTAATGACAAGATCATAAATGCATCCAGCAGCCAGTCTTCTGATCATAACGTTCACTAATAATCAGGATCAATAGCTGTGATCGGCTGGTGTGGCTGCCGGTGGAGATACTGTTCCTCCCTCTGCAGGGTTTCTGGCAGGATGGAGCTTTATTCTGATGCATTAATGGGAGCCAATGAGCCTGAAGGGAGTTTGTGGGGGAGGACAGGAGGGGGTGAGGAGATGGGAGAGGGAGAAGATGTGTTTGAGGATATTAATATCTCAGGAAATGAGGCCGCTCACTTCCTTTGCTCTGCACTGTTGTCACAGAGGAGCTGATGGGTGAAGGGTTTGATCAGTTCGATCAATATCAGCTGAGTCATCCATCTGCTGTGCTACGTGCTAACTTAAGATGTGACTCTGTCTCTTTTACCTTTTAAACATCTTCACTGGTTCTCTTCAACATAGATTAGCCTAGCACCTAGCATATCAAGGTACAGGAAAGGAGGAAGATGACCGAGAGTTGCTCAACTGTTATTGGAGCACATATTAAAAAGGGGCGGGGCTTAGGAAGGGTCAACACTTGACCAGCTTCAAAACTTTGAATTAGTCACGTTGACATAAAAACATGGGAAAATAAGTTAGAAAAATACCAAAGTTACCTTTTAACGCTAATTTATGTCTCAAGATGAGGTTGAAATTCACCTGTTCAGGAAACTACCAGCCAGATTTCTCCAGCCTGTAGTAGACGTACAGAGAAGCAGATATTTCTTCCTCCCCCTCAGTGTCTGATGGTCAGACTGCTGACGTTACACTCTGGAGTTTTGCTCTCTGCAGCTCTTCTTCACTCTCTGCCTCCTCATCCTCATCCCCTCCAAGGAATCTAACAGAGAAGGATCCTGGTTTGGTGCTAGTTGCACTAAAACCCAATATGTCGTATGACCTTTGCTGAAGAGATCCCTCTACCAAATGACATAACACTTTAGATTTTGTGCGCTTTTGTTTATTTGCAAGTCAGGACGTTTGTCCAACTGACCTCCGCCCGCAGTCTAAAGCTCTTGTGAATTAATCTAAACTGTAAACAGCATCCAAAGATGATTATAGGCATAAATTAAATTGAACCATAGGAATCAGAAAAGGTTGTGATGTTTCCTTTGATAGTGTTGAGTTTAGGATGAATAAATATTGTCAATAACATCTGAATTCTTCATTCCTTCTCTCTTCCTTTTGTTTTCATTTGCTTCTCCATGAATCTCCCGTCGGCTTCAATTAACTGCCACCAGCATTAGAGCATTGGCGTTATGATGTAATGACCCTACCTTTTCTTTTAGCTTCCTCGATTCCCTCCTCCAACTTCCTGTTCCTCTGACCCCACCTTTATCAAACAGCCGTCTGTCAACAATGTGAACAATATGTCCACACTGATCTGATCTTCTGTCCTCATTTTTTAATCTTTCAGGGATTTTTCAGTAAACGTCTCAAAGGCTCCATCAAGAGGACGAAGAGTCAAACCAAACTGGACAGAAACACCAGTTTCAGACTGCCCTCGCTCCGGCCTGCCGACGCTGACAGGTAACTGCTTCTTTACATAATGTGCAGATTGCTGCGTGTGATGATCCATCAGCGTCTGATCAGCATGTGACGGCTGCCAGCTGTGTGAGCAGCCTGCTACAGAAAACACTTTTGGTCTCTATAGTTAATTTCTCTGTTCCGGGGGATGATTTTTTTTATCGACTCACTCCCTTTAAATCACATTAAAAGCTTAAAGGCTTAAAGTTATACATAATTAAGGGCGTGGATGCTTTGAGTGACAGGTGGGTGCCGGGACTAAGGCTTCATTCAGCCCGCCTCAGCTCCACCTCTTTGCCGCCTCCCGGCTCATCCCAAAATGGGCGGAGTCAGACCTGCCAAGATGGCGACGGCCAGAACAGACCACACTGAGCTTCACAAACCTCTGTGTACTGTGCAACTGACCTCCGCCCACAGTCTAAAGCTCGTGTGAAATCATTTAAACTGTTCAGATTAAGAAGCTGATTGAGAAACTGCTTTGAGGGCCTGTAAAATCTGGTCCAGGTTCAGTCTTGACGCATTCTCAGTGGTTCAGATATATGAGGCCTTTATAAAGACGTGTACTGTCGACCTCCGTGTTTCTGTAGGTCGGGCAGCGATAGAAGCTGTAGAGTTTGTTGTTCAGTGACACTGAGCAGCAGTGCTCTGATATTAAACTTAATTTCCTGTTCTGGTTCTGTTCTCTCTGTTTCTGGTGACTCTGCGTTTCCTCCAGTAATCAGGCTCGTCTGTCTGCCTGTCTGTCTGT